TATCGACGCAAGCCGAAATCCGAAATGCTTTCACTGCATGGATACTGTTTTTAGTATTAAACTATAACCATCTGGGGTATTTCCAAATGACGACATCCGATGAGCTCCCTTGTTCTTTTTGTCTGTTTGTTTAGGCTGAAGAAATGAATTAACATGCGCCCTTTGTCGAAATCTTTATAGATCACAGTTAACCAATCAGTGTTCAAAAATGCGTAAACCAAATATTGCCTCCAGCCTCCAAGTTTATTTAGCTGTCCTTGCAGACGGTACCCCAGTCTCTGGTCACGCTCAGTTGCGTTGCGTATCATCCGGGTACTCACGGGGGAAAAACAATAACAAAGGCAACAACCAGTCCGTTAGATCAGTGCCCCTTTAAACAGGTTCACTGAAACGCCGTTTATGTGTAATTTGTTGATAATAAGATTTTAGATTAAACTGTATCATAATGTTTGAGTTAGAAGGTAGGCAGACTATATGGTTTCGTGACAATTAGTTGTTAAACAGTTTAGCGTGTTTTATCTATTAAAAAAGTGAGTGTCTACTAAACGTAAATTGTATTGCATATACCCTACGGTGAATGAATATACTAACTACACCGAGACAATAAATTGCCTGAGAGAATCACATTTTACAAATTGACGGTAATATATATACACGCTTACAAAGGAAAAGACCTGTGACAACAACGACTATCGCGCATTGAAGAATTTCCCAACCAAGACGTAGAGAAACAAGAACGAATCGGTTCAAATGAAGGTCTGGAAAACAAAATGCAGATATCATAATTACAACCTACCAAATTTATGTGTATAAGTTTTAGGCAGCTTCCTTGTTCGAGGAATGTATCCGTGAATATCCACACAAAGGAACAATATCCCACTCGTCTGCAGCTGTACAAAGAAACTTATTCGATGTCACGTGTCTCAGTAACAATCAAATATTTTAAAAGATATATATCGTTTCGGGATATCATAACCCGTGTTCGTTTCTCAACTGATCGCTTGGATTGTTTCAGGTGTTTTACATAGGTGTCAAGTCTCAATGGTCGGCTGAGAAAGCCCACGTGACAGCTATTTTCATAGCGTCCACGGTTCCTAAAAATTCCATTGAGTGATAGATAACAATGATCAATCAATCAACGTATTATCAGTTAACCCTTTGAACAAAGTATGTTGTTTTTACATCGGCACTTCGCGCCATGGTATGAGTGTATTCCCTTTGTTTTAGTAAACCTAGACATGTAAACACTCACTCTTGACATATCCAATGTGCAAGATAACAGTGATTAATCAATCAACGTATTTTCTGTTAATCCTTTGATGACTAGGAACGATCCGTTCATTTACAAAAAAAAGAGTAAATCAACTGATCATTCATCTCTTGCTGGACTGCCACGTGCATATTACATAACACACATTTCACCTCACTTCAAACATGGATTTAGATTGAATAATTACCCCAGACACAATAAATGCCAAATGGGAACCTTTGTCATGTAATATAAGTGGTGCTACTACTAATTGTACCTGTAATAAATTCATTAACTGAGCATCAAGTGAATGACGACAAATACACAAGTGTAGGGTTATACGAGAAAACGTGGATGACAACAAGGGAGTAGTAATCGTATTATCGACGCAAGCCGAAATCCGAAATGCTTTCACTGCATGGATACTGTTTTTAGTATTAAACTATAACCATCTGGGGTATTTCCAAATGACGACATCCGATGAGCTCCCTTGTTCTTTTTGTCTGTTTGTTTAGGCTGAAGAAATGAATTAACATGCGCCCTTTGTCGAAATCTTTATAGATCACAGTTAACCAATCAGTGTTCAAAAATGCGTAAACCAAATATTGCCTCCAGCCTCCAAGTTTATTTAGCTGTCCTTGCAGACGGTACCCCAGTCTCTGGTCACGCTCAGTTGCGTTGCGTATCATCCGGGTACTCACGGGGGAAAAACAATAACAAAGGCAACAACCAGTCCGTTAGATCAGTGCCCCTTTAAACAGGTTCACTGAAACGCCGTTTATGTGTAATTTGTTGATAATAAGATTTTAGATTAAACTGTATCATAATGTTTGAGTTAGAAGGTAGGCAGACTATATGGTTTCGTGACAATTAGTTGTTAAACAGTTTAGCGTGTTTTATCTATTAAAAAAGTGAGTGTCTACTAAACGTAAATTGTATTGCATATACCCTACGGTGAATGAATATACTAACTACACCGAGACAATATCTCAGTTTCATACAGGACACCAAGTACAATATCTAGAGTTCGTGAGTATTGTTTTACGTCGTTAAGCAATTTGCATTCAGTAACGGGTATTACCGCTAATTCTTTTGTTGAGAGTAACAAATGTCATTCGAGCAGTTGTGGTTGCAGTGGGAATCTATCCAGTAGATGTGACGTCCCCATCTACCGATCTTGTCTATCTGCACGACGTCATACACGTCACACAGGGTCCGCCACTCCGTAGGAGATAATCTGCAGCGTTGGTCAACTGGTGACGTTCCTGAAGCCTGTAAGTTGTGGAATCATGGACACCAAGGTGTCTGGCATCTCGTGGCATGCTCCATCCAGATTCAGTAAGGCCGATTGCCCTCGTCCGGTTTCCCCGTGTTTGAGGGGACATGGTGTTTTGGTGTCAAACGTATAATAAAAGCAAACTATAAAACCAGCAGCTGTTGTTGGAGACCTGGTTCCAGTTCCTCAAAGCAATCTTAACCCTAAGGTGATCGTAAGTCCCATACTTTGACATAGGCTTACGATCATTGTAGCTCTAAGATCGCTTTGAGGAAAGAGGCACAGATGTCAAGATGCCCGATCAATCAAAACCTTCTCAAACCTTCGGGTAATTAGGAGAGTTCCACGTTATATACATTCCCTGAGAAGGTCGTGCATTTATGCATTTAGCGCTTGGCAAATGTTATCATAACATTTAACGTTGTCTAATTCAAAGTGTAGTTATTTGATAATTTTACATCACTTCTGTTTGCTGATATCGCCAATCGAACATCTTCGCATTTCTTTTGGAGTTGAGTATATGCATTGTGGTTATGTTTACGTCCAGATGATATACACGTTAAGCATCGCCAAGGAGTATGTTACATCACGAAAGGGGCGGTGGGGTGGCCTAATGGTTAAAGCGTTCGCTCGTCACGCCGAGGTCCCGGGTTCGATTCCCGACATGGGAACAATGTGCGAATCCCATTTCCATCGTTTCCCACCGTGATTTTGCTGGAACACTGCTAAAAGCGGCGTAAAGCTTTTCACTCACTCACTCGCTACATCACGAAAGAAACTAACATCCGAAAAACAGTTTCCATTGAGTTCATTGTGTTGTTCAGTGTCATATATCACGTGCGTGCAGTGGATATAACAGTATATGTTTAGTTTGATATTCGCAGGACAGAATAAAAAAGAATACAGCCCCCTTCAAATTCCGATTCCACTATATTTTATAAGAGCGCATTATGAGCATATTTTAAGTACCAGACATTACATACGGCTGTGAGTCACGAAATACGCCAATGTTTACACACGTGGTTTAAACCCCAGACTGCCCAGCCTATATGCACATGTCCTTTGTAATGCGAAGGAACGTGTGTAAGAGATTGGATAATAGGGCCGACTGTTGTTATTTAAGGTAGTGATAATTGTGCTTGCATGGCTAAAAGCTGTTGTTTTGCCTTAAACAGATTATATACGCCTTATATCTATATATAGGGGAGATGGAGAGGGGAGAGCAAGGTGGGTAGAGAGAGCGGAGGGGGTTGGGGTTACAGGGGACCGCGGGGAGGGAGAGGAGGAATGAGGGTGTGGAGGATGAGAAAGAAGGCTGTTAGTCACTTGCGTTGTTTTTTTAAAACAAATATATCCGAAAAACCCAAGGAAGTCTATAATACTTTGACAAATCTAGATTTTTCAGTTTCTGAAAAGAAAGGAAATTTCTGGTCTCAATTACATTATATATAAAATGACAATTAAAAAAACAACTGAATTCAGTTCCTGGTGTGCCTTATGGCAACAATCGGTCATATCAAGCCGGAAACATAAGTGTTTTGCCCATCACGATCTGTTACATGTAACAGAATATAAGGTCGACGTCGGCAGACAAAAACGCGACGTCGTGTCAGATCGCGACGGGAATCTCAGTAGAATACCTTAGATATGTCGCCCTTTTACGGGACCCTTCAGCGGGTATTCAATATTGTGTAAGACGGGTTTAAACTGGGTCTATTATTGTCATGGTGTTCTGACGTAAAAGTAAAAACACCGTTACAGAAGCGTATCCGTGGTGATACAGTTTCAAGTATTTTGTCTAGGAAAACGTAGACTGCGGCTGGAGTTGCAGGTTTGAGACAGTACAACCTCAGCAGCGTACATTACTTCATATCGAAAGGTAAAAAGGTAAATGTAGTTATATTTCAGTGTGTGTGTGTGTGTGTGTGTGTGTGTGTGTGTGTGTTTCCTATTGTGAATTAAGTACTCTGATTTATTATTTTTATTATTGGGGGAAAATATGTTGAATCGCAATGAGGCAACATATGTTTACATGTCCCGAAAGTGATTGATCTGCCATTTGCTGAAAGTTCAGCAGAAATCGTCACTGGTAGCAAAAGATTAACATATAATGATCGCTACACATATTGTCACTCTGCATAATTTATTAATCAGTTAAATTATCAATAATACAGTATGGGTAAATTGTTCGATATATATAATAGGTGTTTGTATATATATATAGACTATGACCGTTCGCAATCTTGAGTGTAAGTATAGATTTGAATACAATGCAAAACTAAACACAATAGACCAATGCGGAAGTTTATTCAATTGAGGCGAATTCTCATTTTAATAATCAAATCTCACATGACGCCATGTAGTTTCCAACTATTGCGTATTGACATGCTTATCAGTATGTATATATCTATTTATCGATAAGTAATTGGCCAACGCATATCCATTGGAAAATGATAACTCATGCACACCATAGTACAACTAGCCACATACGTTAGTCCAAATAAATAATCGATAGTGTAAAACGTGTACCGAAATGACGACAACCCATGTAGGGCCTCTACTGTCACATATCGAGCGAACACAATGTAACAACATGGCGGGCACCTGTTGTGAATAGCTGTCAACGCTATGCAGTGGGGAATCGCAGGTATGTTCGGCGAATGTGTAGTGGGCCGTTACTTACATATTATAGTCTAAGAGAAGTGGCGTGACTGTCTTTATACTCTGAACAACATGTAAGCGCTAATTATGATTGGAATAACTCTGTTCTGTTTTCGATCACAAAGCAAGCGTTCCGTGTCAGTCGGCATACTTTCAATGAATTTCATCAACACGTATGTATGGTATTGTGTGTTTTCTACACAGGGCATAGACCCTATATGTGTATTGACGGGTTTGAGGCGTGTAATTGTTTTTTTTAGACGGTTATAGTTGGGGTAGTGTTTTATGGTAGGTTGAAATCATATTTGATATTGTCAACTGGATATTAACGAAACAGATGGCCACACTGTTATACTATGTAAATAGATCTATATGTTCACTCTTTCTCATCATCAACTCAAGGGTTTCCTATTATAATGACAGCCATTTATAACATACTACACTGTATGACATACGGCTGGCTCATGGAAACATATTGCCACATGCTTATAATGACACTCATAAAATATTGAATTTATTTCTGAATCTATAACTGTTAGCATATCACACAACATGCCAAATACCAGTTGCCCAGATTATTGTAATTTCATAAAACCAAAGAGGAAGTGTTATCATAATTCAGATGACACATAAATGCAAATATAATGATAAATAAATGGTACATGTATGTCTGCAAACATATAAATTCACAATATTTCTTCAATTGAGTTGTTAAATTGAGTTCATTACCAATAAGAAAATTGAATTACTGTTTTTCTTAAAAGCTTTGGGTTGTGGTCGAAAAAATAATTTGTTTGTCCTTTTTGTTTTTGTCAGACTATGGATAGGAAGTTCCTGATGGGTCGTTAAATGAGAGATAAATAATAGTCGAATTATCTATTTTCGTCGTGGCATTTTTGTGAAATGTGACAGAAATACAGTGCTCCAGATAACTCTTTCAGCCTTTTTGCATTTTGCATTCATTTTGCATCAGGAAATAGAGATCCGCAAAGAAATTCAGGTACACACGCTGAAAAAAATACATTGGGTAATTACACAGAGTTTTCACATTTATTAATTTAATTTGAATGCAAACAACTCATAAGTAATTGGGTAATGGTGATATGTTTTGTGTATTTTATGCAAATACGCAGCTTATCTGGAGCTTTGGGAATACCAATATACTGTTTGCATCAACCAAGTCAGCGAGCCTGACCACTCGACAAGTATGTGTTGCTGAAGACCTATTCTACCCAGGATCTTTGCTGGTCACCAGTAAAACTAGGAATAGTTCTTAAGCCAACAATTATGCATCATTGAGCATGTACTGCTCATAACAAGTTGGGATGTTTTATTTATAAGAGTGATTATCAGACTCACAGGTACTTAAAGAAGCTTTAACTGGGAGTATTTAAAATATTTTCCACATTCCGGAATTTTGAAATGGAGGTTCTGAAGACAAAAATTCAAACCCCTAACTGTACATTCACATTTGACATTTTTGAAAGATTATTATGACAACAAATTGTTTAAATATAATTCAAAGACAATATTTTAATCCAAGCTATTCACTTGATGCTCATACTGATTTTGACAAGTCTCTTTGTCTATGAACAGCTGGCAGAAATAACTGAGAATGTTGTCTTTCACACTTGTAAATTAGATGGATCTTTGTGTACACATATTCTGGGCAGTGTATTTATGGATATTGCTGACGTAAGCAGTGTAACAGCAATTGTATTTTCTAATAATTCAGTTGGAACTGGAAGGCTCCAGTTTCGAATCAAAAGAAACTCTATTCTGTCAGGTGTTTGTGGGAACGTAATATACCATTAGTAAGAGTTTTACTTACATCAGGACATCCTGGACATTGGGGGACGTAAGTTGATAGAGCTTGTGTGTTTCTATGAAACAGTGGCCGATGCACCCTGAGGCAGCAAATTGCAGCCTATTAGTGATCCCTTAGTGCATAGTTTACTCTTAACAGTTTGCATGCATTACCATATTGGACATAATAAGCACTCCTCTCTAATAAGCGTCCACAGCTATATTGCTAATATATTGGCTAGTGAACAATCCCAATTAGCACTCCTTCCGATTGATCAATGTACAAAAGACTTATTTATGACGCACTCGTGTTTTATATGCACCCTTTATTATGGGCAATTAAATTCTGGAAAAATATATCTGTCGTATATAAACATTTCAGGCTGTCAGCATAAACCACAAAACTTATCTTTCAACTCTGGTTTTTTTCACCAAAATAATATTCTAATAAGAGCCCCCTATTTCTAATTTGAGAGCGCCCTGGGCGCATATTACGTCGAATACGGTAAGTACAATACTTCCCATGCTAACAGGCTGTGTTTGATCCAAATACAAAAGCAGGCAGAGTAATTCTGCTTGCACAAAGTGACTAGGTATTCTTTTTTGACGAAAGTAGACAAAATTAGATACTGTACTTTGATTAAGTACCTCCTACAGACATCCGTGGGATTAAGCATTGAAAAGGATTTAAAGCTTCTGTCAAGGTGAAGTTGACTGATGACTGACATCTTATATTGTTATAATTTTTGCATGTTTTGCTTCATGTTGGGCCCCTGTGAAGATCTTGGTTAGAATTGGTCTTCAGCAACCCATGCTTGTCCCCCATGAAGATCCGGCTTAAAATTGGTTTTGAGAAACCAATGCTTGTCCCCCGTGAAGATCTGGGTTAGAATTGGTTTTGAGAAACCCATGCCTTTTCCCTGTGAAGATCCGGATTAGAATTGCTCTACATTAACCCATGCTTGTCCCAAATGAAGATCCGGATTAGAATTGGTCTTCAGCAACCCATGCTTGTCCCCTGTGAAGATCTGGATATTAGAATTGGTCTTCAGCAACCCATGCTTGTCGTAATAGGGACGAACAGAACTGGGTGGTCAGGCTCACTGACTTAGTTGATGCATGTAATTGTATCCCATTTGCAAAGATTGATACTCATGATGTCAGTCACTGGATTGTCTGGTCCCAGACTCAATTAAATACAGACAGCCGTACTACAGCTGGAATATATCTGATTTTGGTGGTAAACAACAGAGATACAAACTAACAAGTCATGTTGGGAATCAGCAGGGATTTCATCTTCGATCCTAGATTATCTTGGCTTAGGTCAATTTGTACTGACAGAATAATCACATAGAACCGGAGACAAATATTTTGTTATTTGACACATATTGTATTTCAAGATCGGGCTTTGTCAATGTTTATCATGGGGACATTTTCAAACCCGTATTCCTAAAATATCTCGAAAAGGTGAAATAAAAATGTGTTGTTGTTTGTTGCATATTAATGTGACGTCCAGGGAGAATATAGGTCCCAAGTTCCCGTTATTTGTCTCAGAATACGTATCCTGTAACCAATGTGTGTCCTCCTGTTGGGTTTCTGGGGTAGAATAGGCCCCCAGTGTCCAATGTGTGTCCTCCTGTTGGGTTTCTGGGGTAGAATAGGCCCCCAGTGTCCAATGTGTGTCCTCCTGTTGGGTTTCTGGGGTAGAATAGGTCTCCAGTGTCCAATGTGTGTCCTCCTGTTGGGAATCTGGGGTAGAATAGGTCCCCAGTGTCCAATGTGTGTCCTCCTGTTGGGTTTCTGGGGTAGAATAGGCCCCCAGTGTCCAATGTGTGTCCTCCTTTTGGGATTCTGGGGTAGAATAGGCCCCCAGTGTCCAATGTGTGTCCTCCTGTTGGGTTTCTGGGGTAGAATGGGCCCCCAGTGTCCAATGTGTGTCCTCCTGTTGGGTTTCTGGGGTAGAATAGGCCCCCAGTGTCCAATGTGTGTCCTCCTGTTGGGTTTCTGGGGTAGAATAGGCCCCCAGTGTCCAATGTGTGTCCTCCTGTTGGGAATCTGGGGTATAGAATAGGTCACCAGTGTCCAATGTGTGTCCTCCTGTTGGGTTTCTGGGGTAGAATAGGCCCCCAGTGTCCAATGTGTGTCCTCCTTTTGGGATTCTGGGGTAGAATAGGTCCCCAGTGTCCAATGTGTGTCCTCCTGTTGGGATTCTGGGGTATAGAATAGGTCCCCAGTGTCCAATGTGTGTCCTCATGTTGGGATTTTGGGGTAGAATAGGTCCCCAGTGTCCAATGGTTGTCCTCCTGTTGGGTTTCTGGGGTAGAATAGGCCCCCAGTGTCCAATGTGTGTCTTCCGTTTGGGTTCTTGGGTAGAATAGGTCCCCAGTGTCCAATGTGTGTCCTCCTGTTGGGTTTCTGGGGTATAGAATAGGCCCCCAGTGTCCAATGTGTGTCCTCCTGTTGGGTTTCTGGGGTAGAATAGGTCCCCAGTGTCCAATGTGTGTCCTCCTGTTGGGATTCTGGGGTAGAATAGGTCCCCAGTGTCCAATGTGTGTCCTCCTGTTGGGTTTCTGGGGTATAGAATAGGCCCCCAGTGTCCAATGTGTGTCCTCCTGTTGGGTTTCTGGGGTAGAATAGGCCCCCAGTGTCCAATGTGTGTCCTCCTGTTGGGATTCTGGGGTATAGAATAGGCCCCCAGTGTCCAATGTGTGTCCATCTGTTGGGATTCTGGGGTATAGAATAGGTCACCAGTGTCCAATGTGTGTCCTCCTGTTGGGTTTCTGGGGTATAGAATAGGCCCCCAGTGTCCAATGTTTGTCCTCCTGTTGGGTTTCTGGGGTAGAATAGGCCCCCAGTGTCCAATGTGTGTCCTCCTGTTGGGATTCTGGGGTATAGAATAGGCCCCCAGTGTCCAATGTGTGTCCATCTGTTGGGATTCTGGGGTATAGAATAGGTCACCAGTGTCCAATGTGTGTCCTCCTGTTGGGATTCTGGGGTATAGAATAGGCCCCCAGTGTCCAATGTGTGTCCATCTGTTGGGATTCTGGGGTATAGAATAGGTCACCAGTGTCCAATGTGTGTCCTCCTTTTGGGATTCTGGGGTATAGAATAGGCCCCCAGTGTCCTGTGTTTGTCTCCTTATGGGGAGTTTTGGGTAGATCAGGTCCTCAATATCTTTTG